GAACTCGCCGAGAGCTACATAGCATCCATTAATTCAATGGACACCGCCAAGCCCCAGGTGCCCTTCAATTTAATAGAAGCGCTATGTGCGGACAATCGGAAGTCGTTCACTGAGACTCGCGCGAAACAACCCCTACCGGACGGATTCGCGATGAACGACCAGCTCCTCCTATACAAAGGCCGCCTATGTGTGAATCGCCACACTGACCTATGTACGAAACTGATCCGGGAAGCGCACGATCAAGTGTCGTCAGCACACCCAAGTGGCAGGAAAACCTACCAATTGCTCGCCCCAAAGTATCATTGGGTCGGGATGGAAGCGGACTGTTTGCGGTATGTACGAAACTGCGTGAAATGCCGGCTTTCTCACACCAATGTCACTAAGCAACAAGGATTTCTACACCCACTACCCGTACCCGAGTACCCTATGCAACACCTCACCATGGACTTCAAGGAGTTCCCAAGGGACAAGCATGGATACGATAGCATCTTAGTGTTTATGGACCGACTCGGAAAGAGTTCAGTGACAATACCTTGCTACAAGACCATAACTGCCCGCCAGATGGCGCAATTGTTCATCGAATGGATATACCGATTCGGACACACTCCGGAGTCGATTGTAAGCGACCGCGGACCCCAATTCGTATCATCCTTTTGGCAAGAGTTCTGTCGAATTATCGGCGTTAAGGTTAAGCTGTCAACGGCCTATCATAAGCAGACCGACGGGCAGACGGAAATCATGAACCGATACATCGATCAGAGACTGAGGCCCTTCGTATCCTATTATCAGGATAACTGGAGCGAGCTCATCCCAATAATGGACCGCGTGCAAATGACACTCCCCCACGCATCCATTGGCATGACCCCCTACCGACTCAAGTACGGAACCGATCCGCGTACGAGTTGGGATTGGAACACTCTGAAAAGCACCAACCCCCGGGAGACCCTAAACCGAGAGGAGGCCAAGGCGGTGGCAGACCGAATGCATACCGCATGGGTCCACGCAAAGGAAAACATGGCAAAGGCACAAGAGGAAATGGCAAAGCATGCGAATCGACGCCGCAGGGCCATCGACTGGGACGTAGGAGATAGAGTGTACCTATCGACCAAAAATTTGAAAAACTCTCGTCCTAGCCGCAAGCTGGGCCAACAATGGGTCGGACCATATACGGTGGTGGAACGGATTGGGCACGCATTTCGATTGGAACTACCTAGCGGTTCTCAAATACACGATGTGTTCTCACCAGACGTACTTATGAAGGATCCGAACAATCCCCTACCTGGTCAGGATCCGCCTGAGCCTAGCAGCGAAGTGATAGATGGCATAGAGGAATGGGAAGTGGAAAAGATCCTCGGCGTAAGGGTCCACCCAACTACAATACCGGGTTAGTTGGGTCGGATACGATCCGGACCCGGAGTGGTACCCAGCGTCAAACTTCATGAACTCTCCCGAGAAACTCAGAGAGTTTCATACGGAATACCCAGACTTACCAGGTCCACCTCACGAACTACTAGGAGTTGTTACGGCAGGGGAGACGGGAAAGGAACAAAACTACAATCACAGAGGGAAAGACAAAGCGGAAGAAACAGAGTCATTGCTGTCGGCGACTCTAAACTAAATATACCCTCCGAGCCAGGGCGCACTCACCACCGTAACCCTTGCAAGAGCCACCCTTCCCAAACGTCTCACTGGTGTCGCAACAAGCGGCTACCACCATGAGAGACGAAGGGTCGAAGTGACCCCACGCGAAGGGCCAGGCCCGAGTCCCCTCCGACACAAGGTCTTCCCCCACCTAGGCCCCATAGGCCGCCCCAACTTCCCCATCCTCCCCCTCCCTCCTTCCATCACCCCGAGTCGGAGCGACCGCGGGAGCGGCAGCGGTGGGCAGTTTGCCCACAGCAGCCACCAACTCCCCCAAGAGAGCAGGAACGCTCTCCTGTTCCGTCCGAAGACGGCGCAGCGACGACCGAATTTGCTGCCCAGAGTCAGCATCAAAACCATACCGAGTCACAAGGGAAAGGGGGGATACTCACGGCCAGCCCCAACTCGAGGGCAGCCCGAGTGGCGCGTGCCTCCTCGTAGAGGTCACGCTCCGCCTCGGAGCGGAACTTGGGCACGCTCTGGGCGGCCAGGAGGGCCACCCGATTGGCCTCGGTGGCGGCGGCGACGACTTCGGCGAGGATGAGGGGGGTGGCCTCTTCGGCGGCCAGGAGGGCCGCAAACTCTTCCCCGAGGAACCAGGGCAGCTTCCACCAAAGTCAGCAACGGCCAACCAAACCAAACACCGAACCCCAGAAGAAAACCTACCGGGACGCAAGGCGAGTGCTGCGCGGTGCAGTACCCACACTTCGAACTGGTCGAGGACCAGACGCAGTCGTGGGACTGGATCCCACGGGCTTTGGCCCGAAGGCAGCGCAAACAGAGCACACGGAAGGCAACCGTAAGGGCCCCGGAGGGGGTCGGAACCGGCATCGTCGATTCTTTGGATTTGAATGGAATCTGCGATTCCGTTAGCCAAGCCCAAGTTATCACCAGCGCGCCAACGCGCTCCCATCACCTACTCGTTCGTTCAGATTGTGGATATCCTATACAATCAGTTAGTAGACGATCAAGAAACGGACGGGGAGTGGCCACTTACTGGTCTCGGAGGTCAGTTTGTGGGCGTTGTTGTTGTGAAGCAATAAAAAAACGAGAAAGTGGGCGAAGCTCTGAACTCAGATTTGGCTTACAACAATGACACCCGAATCGGGTTAGCGCAGCTACCCTCCTTGCGCGATGGGGAACTTTCGACGCGTACCTGTAGCGGATACCTCCCGGTGCTCATTCGGACCATCACCACTAAGCTAGAGATTGAACAAAGAAAACAAAAAGTAATTGCATACCAGACGGAGCTGATACGGTAGTACTGCTCCAGGATTATTTTTTCCATCTCCCGGCACATCAGACCAATGCGGTTGTCACTAATGCGGCCACGCGCGCAAACCCCACGACAAAGAACGCCCAAGCCACTGACGCTACCCGGATGGGTTCCGGACCATAGGCGGGCGGCGTGCTTTGCGGACAAAGCACTCTCTTACGACGGGGGGTAGTGTAAGGATGCCTCCGTACCTAGATACTCGAAGAACCTGTCTCAGAACTGTTACGGTCACTACAAACATGGAATCCGACTCGGTGGGGTTTCGAACCAGTAGAGGATCATATAGCGAGTTACACTATAGTGGGGGACGGTAAGTGTATAGGGTTCAGGGCCGATGTAGACCTGTTGCGGTGGAAGGTTCAGGGCTAGGGTTGGGATAACCGAGTCGGGCCCGTTTCGGGAGTTAAGGAAACAGACTCAACGGGGTTCCCCCTTCATCTTTTTTGTATCCTTCGTAGTAGACCTATAGGATAGAATACAGCATCACCTCCGACTCGCACTCCCATATGCACCTACGGAGAGCCGTATTCCCTGTGTCCTTACAAGTAGAAGAGTTTGCAGCAATCGTTGAGTAGTATTGCTTCTGTTGTTGGTGTGATAAGCCAAGATATGTATGGTGACTTGTAGGTTTGAGGAGGAGATTTCTAAGTTTGCTCTTGAGTTTGATAGCAAACTGAGTGCAACGAATGTCAGTATGACAAAAGGCACAATTATAGGAGCATTTCGTGAAGCTGGAATGTGGCCAATAAACCCTAAAGAAGCCTTGAAAAAAATGAAGGTATATACACTGTCTGAAAAGGCTCTAGACCTACTGCAAATTCCACAGACTCTGACAATTTTGTAGACTCAGAGCTCAAATTACAGCATTGGCAGGCAAAATACCATACCTTTTGTCAAGTCCATCGGCACGAGAATGGGATTCTTGGGCGCGCGGTATTGAAAACGTCCTTGCTCAAGGAGAGTTAGCTGTCCTACAGTATGATTTACTATCTACAAAGGTTGCGAACCAGCAAAAGGCAAAGGTCAAAAGCTGCAATGTTGTCGTGGTCCATTAACAGCTAAAGATGCTTGGAAAAAAATAGCTGACAAGGCTAAAAAGGAGAAGGAAACTCAAGAGCGGAAGTCAAAATTCAGAGCACGAATAGCCTTGAATAAGGTCAAAAAGGAGCTTCGTATTTGTGGTGTTGAGGCCCGCAAAGCTGAGCTTTTAAGAAAGCGGCAGGTTACCCAGTTGTTAAAAGCAAAGCAGGAGGTGCCTCCTGATTTACTTAATCCAATTCCTGATCCCGAAAAAATTGCACAGGAGTCAGAGATTCAAGAAGAAGCCAATATTCAATTGATTTCAACAATATGGTGGTCGGGATCACAGGTAGATGAGACTGGATTTATAAGATTTAGTGGTTTGGATGAGGACATATTTACAGACAGGACAGAAGAGAATTTGGATTCAGGGGTGTTTTAAAGTAAGAATAGCGTCAAATTTATTTAATAATTTAATCACTTAATTGGTTGTATAACTTAGTTGTTTTAAACAACTTGTTTAGATAGTGGTTATATTAGATTCTACATACTCATGATATCTGGCTGGCGGGATGCAATTTCGCTTTCCGGATGCAATTCGCTTTCGCCGACCACCTGTAAGGTGGTCAGTGGAACACCGATTAGTGGTTTTTTGTCGTAGCCGACCGACCTATTAGTCTAGCAAAAGAAGCATATTGATATGCTACATCCTAGGCTCATAACTGTTGAACTAGCAAAAGCGAATCAATCCACTTCTGCTGTAGTTCTTACAGTCGGCTATATTACAACAGCAGGCGATTACGGATAAGCAGCGTAATCGACATCGACACGTGACACACTGGGTGGTGCCTGACGCCGAGATGGAAGTCTAAGCCGCCCCTTTAACTTTTGTGTGGCTGAGCACTTGGACCAGTTCATATCGATTGACTGTTTTTCCTTGCAGGGTGACGAATCCTATTAAGCCAAAGCATACTGTGGTTTTGAACATGTACTACTACCCTTACCACTAACTTACCTAAGTTAGTGGTAAGGGTAGTAGTACATGTAAACATCGCTGTTTTAAAGGGCTGTCACTTCCCACCAAAGCTCGCCTATCCAGGCCACCGTAGTACCTCATCCCCTGCTGTGAAGCCCACCCAACGCTAAGTACCGCCAACCACCTACCACCTACCACCACCATCCGGCCCGAAAGCAATTGTTTCCCTATCTGATGCTCCTCCTGTATCTCCACCTCCCCCCCCCTTCTCCACCTCCACTCCAGAACCCCCAAAATTCCCAAGCCAACTACCACCTCACCTTCCTCCCTCTCCTCTCGATCCCCCACTGCTCTTTTCTCTCCTCTCCCCTCCTCTTCCCTCCTCTCTTTCCGTCTTTGTTCTCCCCTCTTCAAGACTCGCCACTGGTTCAACCCAGCATCAACCAACGGAGAATAGTTTCGCGAGCATCTTAATTTTTCACCGATTCCACGACAGAGAAACACCACCGCCAGAGCTTGGTAGTGGTAGGTCTCTCCTTTACTCCTCCCCCTTCCCTGAGCCCCTTAGAGACCAGCCAGACCAGCCAAGCAAGAGCTTGCGGAGCCCATTTCACGCCGACGCTTGAAGAATCACTCTCGCCCCCCAGTGATTGACCTCGAGGTGACTTCAACGCTAACACCAACCCAGTAGTTTCCACCTACTCGATACTGATTTGGACGTCCATGCCTTCAGCATAGTGTGCTCGTTACCCTCGACATCATGATCGCCTCTCTGCTGCCCGCGCGATTCCGCGGGCCCCAGGACACAAAGGCCAACGCCCAGCCCGGATGGCTGAACAAAAATATCACTCCCCTGCTGCAGGCCCTGTCCCGCAAGGCCTGCATCCACCCGATCCACAGCGTTGTCATCGTTGCCTTCCTCGCCAGCACAACCTACATGGGCCTGCTCGAGGGCAGCTTGGACGGATTCCCATCGGGAGCTGGAAAGGCCGACTGGGGCTCACTGGTGGAGGGCAGCCGACAGCTCTACGTTGGCAAGGACACGGCGTGGAAATGGCAAGCGCAGGATGCAGATGCGCCAATCCCGAGTGAGGCTGAGCGTCTGGCTCTCCTGACCTTTGTCTTCCCTGGTTCTCTCTCGTCGAGCTCGCCCGATGCGCCGCTCTCCCACACCGTGCCGCTTCTCAACAACTTGTCTATTACCGCGCTACCATCTACGTCGAACCCTCTAGCGTCAATCTCGCAAGATAGCACCCTCGCATTCTCCATCCCATATTCCCAAGCTCCAGAGTTCCTCGCGTCGGCTCAGGAGATCCCAAATGTCGACAACGAGGCCGAAGGCTTGGGTGTCCAGGAACAGAAGCTGTGGATAATGAAGGCGGCCAGGGCCCCTGGAGCTTCCAATGGTAGCGTCAGACTCTGGGCTCTTAACGCCTGGTCCAAGTTTGTCGACCTCCTCAAGAACGCCGAGACTTTAGATATCTTCATCATGGTTTTGGGATATATTGCGATGCACCTGACTTTCGTCTCTCTATTCCTCTCTATGCGCCGTATGGGATCCAACTTCTGGCTCGCAACGACAGTCTTGTTCTCGTCTAGCTTCTCGTTCCTCTTCGGCCTCATCGTCACGACGAAGCTGGGAGTACCAATCAACATGGTTCTTCTATCCGAAGGCCTGCCGTTCCTCGTTGTCACCATCGGCTTTGAGAAGGCAATCGTCCTCACCAAGGCCGTCCTCTCCGTCGCCGTTGACAGCCGCAGAGCCCCTGTTCCTAACAGCCCAGGTTCCAGCAACGACGATAAAGAAGGCACTTCGCCACCATCTATCCAGCATGCTGTCCAGGTCGCGATCAAGGAGAAGGGATTCGAGATTGTCAGGGATTACGCTATTGAGATTGCAATTTTGATCGCTGGTGCCGTGTCTGGGGTTCAAGGTGGGCTTCAGCAGTTCTGCTTCCTCGCTGCCTGGATCCTCTTCTTCGACTGCATCCTTCTCTTCACCTTCTACACTTCCATTCTCAGCATCAAGCTCGAGATCAACAGGATCAAGAGACACGTTGCACTCCGGAGAGCTCTCGAGGATGACGGACTTAGCCAGCGCCTTGCCGAGAAAGTGGCACAGAGCAACGACTGGCCAAGACCAGACGGCGAGGGGTCTGACGGCAAGACTAACATCTTTGGCCGCAAGGTCAAGGATACCAGCGTCCCAAAGTTTAAGGTCCTGATGGTTACTGGATTTGTTATTGGCAATGTTATCAACATTGCGACTATCCCATTCAGGAGCAGCAAGAACAGCTCGGCTGCTTCGTCCGTCTCTGGCATTGCTACCCCCAGTTTCAGCGCTCTCGATCCATTCAAGGTGGCCTCCAACGGCCTCGACGCTATCCTCGCGACTGCCAAGCTAAGCGGCCTTCCAACCGTCGTCACCGTTCTATCGCCCATCAAGTACTCGCTCGAGTACCCCTCTATCCACTATGCAACGCACCATGGTCAGCATAGCCCCTACTCCATCGAGTACGGTGGATCCGCCAGCGACTACGGAATGGGCGGCAGAGTCGTCGACAGCCTGCTTAAGAGCCTTGAAGACCCGGTGCTGTCTAAATGGATTATGGTTGCCTTGGTCCTGAGCGTTGTCCTCAACGGTTATCTCTTCAATGCCGCAAGATGGTCCATCAAGGAACCCGAGACTCTTATCCTAGCGAATGATCCTATCGCCCTCGAAAAGGCCCAACGCATCACCGACGACCGTCAGGCCCCAGCTGCTAACCAGTACGACAATAACTTGCGTCCAACGGAGCGCCTGCCCACGCCAGCCAACACCGATGATGAGGGTGATCTAGTTATCCTACCAAAGGCCCCTGCTGCTAATGGCTCAGCTGCTCTACGCCTCACCACTGAACAGATTGAGAAGATGCTTCTCCAGAAGCGCGCCCCGGAATTGGACGACAAGGAACTCATCGAGCTTTCCCTCTCTGGCAAGCTTCCCGGTTACGCTCTGGAGAGGACCCTCAAGGACACCACCCGCGCAGTTAAGATCCGCCGTGCCGTTGTTGCACGCACAGCTGCTACATCTCACACCACCAGCCTTCTCGAGGGCTCCAAGCTGCCATACGAACACTACAACTGGGACCGCGTCCTCGGAGCATGCTGCGAGAACGTCATTGGATACATGCCACTGCCCGTCGGCGTGGCCGGACCTATCGTTATCGACGGACAAAGCTACTTCCTTCCCATGGCCACGACCGAGGGTGTCCTCGTCGCCAGTACCAGCCGTGGTGCCAAGGCCATCAACGCCGGCGGCGGTGCCATCACCGTACTCACCGGCGACGGCATGACTCGCGGCCCATGTATCGGCTTCGAGACACTCGAGCGCGCCGGCGCCGCCAAGAACTGGCTCGACTCCGAAGCCGGCCAGAAGACCATGAAGAAGGCATTCGACTCCACCTCCCGCTTCGCGCGTCTCCAGACCATGAAGACCGCCATCGCCGGCACCTACCTCTACATTCGCTTCAAGACCAGCACGGGTGACGCAATGGGCATGAACATGATCTCCAAGGGCGTTGAGCACGCGCTGAAGGTGATGTCGACCGAGAGCGGCTTCGACGACATGCAAATCATCTCCGTCTCCGGCAACTACTGCACGGATAAGAAGCCAGCGGCTATCAACTGGATCGACGGCCGCGGCAAGGGCGTCGTGGCTGAGGCTATCATCCCGGCTGAGGTGGTGCGCAAGGTCCTCAAGAGCGAGGTCGACGCGCTGGTCGAGCTGAACATTAGCAAGAACCTTATCGGTAGCGCGATGGCGGGGAGCATTGGCGGGTTCAATGCTCACGCTGGTAACATCGTCACGGCCATCTTCCTTGCAACTGGTCAGGACCCCGCGCAGAACGTCGAGAGTAGTAATTGTATTACTATTATGAAGAAGTACGTCTCCCTCCCCTTTCATTCTAGAGACTATAACTAACACTTTGCAGCCTCCGCGGCAACCTCCAAATCTCCGTCTCCATGCCCTCCATCGAAGTCGGCACCCTCGGCGGCGGCACCATCCTCGAGCCCCAAGCCGCCATGCTCGACCTCCTCGGCGTGCGCGGCTCCCACCCCACCAACCCCGGCGACAACGCGCGCAAGCTCGCGCGCATCGTCGCTGCGGGTGTCCTGGCGGGTGAGCTGTCCCTCTGCTCGGCGCTTGCGGCGGGGCATCTGGTCCAGAGCCATATGGCGCATAATCGCTCCGCGCCTGCGACGAGGAGTAGTACACCTGCCCCGGGGGGGGTGGCAACGCCGGTTACGCTGGCGATGACCGGGGGAAAGAGGTAGGGTGGGGGTGTATATGATATTGTCGGAGTTTTTCCTGCTGGCGATGACCGGGGGAAAGAGGTAGGGTGGGGGTGTATATGATATTGTCGGAGTTTTTCCTGCCGGCGAAGCGTGTAGGCGCGGGGATTTGGGGGAAACCCTATGTTGATACGGTGGTGGTGGTGGTGCGGAGGGCGGCGCAGGAGGCACGGTTGTGTGCCTGAGCGTGCGCGGCGGGGGGGGTTTTTGGATTTATAGGGAGGGGGCAACTTCACCCGTTTGAGGGAGAGAGAAAAGGAGATTATATATTTGAAGGCGAATGGGGTGGTAGATTAGAATAAGATGTAATTGAAATGGGAAAAAGAGAAGAAGTATATTCAGAGAGTTTTTTTCGTGCGTGATGACGGATATGAAGAAGTTCCTCTGCCCGCTGACATGGGCATGGTTGAGAGATAGCTACAGAAGGGTTGAAAGAGGGACAAGGCTCTCTGAAGGAATATCCATAGCGATATTCCCGTGTGGAGACGATAGGAGTGGGAGGTTGCAAGAATTAGCAGCAGTGAGAATAAGTAGGCGGTGATGAGAATTTGGCAGCGGTGAAAATACGTAGGCGGTAGTGAGAACAAGCCGACAGCAGAACCTCGACCGGCAGAGCAGTGGGAACAAGGGTCAGGTCACCACGATATGCCAGAGAGAGGTTTCCTTTAATGATAGTATCGAGTCGCTGGTTTCCCTGTCGAAGACGCAGTCCCTACCCGAATCCAACTTTTGCGCGACAGAGTTAGAGTATCCTACACCCACCCCTTTCCCCGTCCCCATCCCCATCGCCACACCCAAAAACAAACAGCGGATCCCCACAACACCAAACCCACCACCTCATAAAAGCACTCCCAAGCGCCGCCACGCTAGAAATGTACGGGGCTGTAACTCAGTGGTAGAGTGTTCGCTTTGCATTACCCCATTCTCAGGATTGGATATGATACTTATATGCGAAAAGCCCAGGGTTCGATCCCCTGCCGCTCCAAATTTTTCTTCTTTTTTGTAATTTTTTTACTTTTGGGATTTCGACGGTGGGAGAGAGATAAGTTTTTTTCTGGTAGGGGGGGGAACTTGAGGAAGCTTGATGGGATGATTCGTCTTTTTTGCCCGTTTAAGAGTAGTGAGATGCGAATGTAAAATAGAGGAACGTCGATGAGCTCGCAACTTTGAAGGGGGACGGAGAGCGTTTTCATCCCCTCTATTTCAATGCTGTTATACTAATATCTTACCTTTCCAATAAAGTACTAATTTTTGTACTGTCGTGTCATTAAGTTTTTCTGACAAAATTCGCTTTCGAGATATGTCGCTACTAGGGACCACTTTTGGGAGTTTACAGGGCGGGCCGAACTACCCTACTAAAAGCATCCAATTCACAAAAAGTGCTCACTCTAATAGTACCAGGTTTATTTGCTTTATATCTATATTAATTACATTGTTCAGTAGGGGGAAAGTCTAGACTCTAGAACAGAGGTCTACTCGATTTCATTCCACCCCAAACGACACGCCTCAGCCACTTAAACCTCAATGTTCTCTCCGTGGTAAGCAACAGGGGTCTTCTCAGTGAGACCCATCTCGTAAGCGAAGGTGGTGTGTGGCATCCACTTAGCAGACTTGCGTGGGGTGGACTCCTCGAACATGCGATCGACCTGCTCAAGAGACAAGCCCTTGGTCTCGGGGATGAGGAAGATGGCATAGATGAGACAGCAGAGACAGAGGGAGCCCCAGACGAAGAAAACCTTGGGTCCGAGGTTGGCCTCCTTCTCACCAACCATGTAGGGGGTGATGACACCGATGATCTGTAGGGAGATGATTAGCTTCAATTTCAGGCAGAGCACGTTATGGGAGTTAACTTACGCAGTTCCACAGCCAGTTGCTAGCGGTAGAGAGACCGACACCACGGGAACGGATGGGGATGGGGTAGATCTCGCCGATGAGAACCCAGGCACCTGGACCCCAGGTGGTGGCGAAGAAGAAGATGTAGGTGCAGATGAAGCCGACCAAGGCACGGGTGGCGTTGTCATCGTTGGGGAGGGCAGTTCCGACGGCGCCGACAATGAACTGGCAGATGACCATTCCGAAGGCACCGTAGATCATGATGGCGCGACGACCGAAGCGCTCAATGGTCCAGAAGGAAACCGGGGTGCTGACGACGTTGACAATGGTGAAGACCATGGAAATCAGGAAGGGGTTGTTGATCGTGCCGAGGGATTGCAGGAAGATGGTGGAGTAGTAGAAGATGAAGTTGACACCGGTCCACTGTTGCATCATCTGGAGGGAGGTTCCGAGAATCGTGCGGCGGAGGTTAGATCCTGGGTTGGTGAGTCCACCCTTGAAGCAGTTGGCCCAGGACGAGATGTAACCGCTTTGAGGGATGACCTGCATCTCATACTCGTGGTTGGCAACAATCTCGGCGAGTTCCTGTTGAATGTACTCCGAGTCGACGGGCTGGCCACGAATGCGGGCAAGGACGGCAGCAGCCTTGACAAGGTTACCCTTCTTGACGAAGTAGCGGGGAGACTCGGGGAGGAAGAAGAGACCGAGGCCAAGAACGATGGCTGGGAGGAACTGGATAGCGATGGGGATGCGGTAAGAGCCAGAGTCCATGCGGTCCTTGGTGACGTAGTCGACGCAGGCGGCAACCATGAGACCGATCGTAACGCAGAATTGGTAACCAGCAACGAGGGTTCCACGGATCTTCTTTGGTGCGATCTCAGACATGTACAGAATGATGATAGCGGAGACGAAACCGACACCGAAACCGGCGATGATACGGCCAACAGCGAGAAGAGCGAAAGTGGAAGAGGCGGTCTCAAGGATAACACCGATGATGAAAATCAGGCAGCCCAAAAGAATAGTTGTGCGACGTCCAAACCAATCAGCGAGGTCACCAGCGATGATGGCACCGAAGAAAGTTCCAGCAGAGAGAATCGAGACAATGAGCGAGTTGTGAGACGAGGAGACAACGAAGTAAGCGGATTCAGCGGGAGTGGCATTGGCGGCGGGGTATGGCAGGTTCTCAAATTGGTGGACGAAGTAGTTCATGCCCAGAACACCACCGATGTGTCCAGAATCGTATCCGAAGAAGAAACCACCAAAGGCTGCAAAGGCGCATAGGCAATAGGCCTTTGTGGTCATTGGCGCCTCAATGCGCTCGACATCGGCGGGCGCATTGAGGTTCTCGGCCCTGGTTTCTGTAACAGCTTTCCCCATGATGATGGTTGTGATAAGGATAGGAGTAGAATATGAGAAGTGGGTGGAGGACAAGCAGGTGAGGGGGAACCGGCGGGGTATATAAGGCCAGAGCACGACAGCACAGAAGCAGAGTAGCACGAAGTCATGCGCCTGTGCTAACTTCGAATTTACTCGCGCGGTCCGTTTACAATATCTCAATGCGGTCCGTTTACCATATTTTGTTACGGTCCGTTTATAATATTTCCTTCCGGGCCGATTGTGAGTGTTAGCGGCATACTGATCTCCCTCACCAAAAACATCACATCTCAACCACAACTCCACGTGGAACAATCAAATTCATTATAGCCTGATGCATTGATTATAGTAGACCTGATATTAATGCATTATAGCGATTTTTTGTTACAGAGTTGTAGCTATGAAGCTGTGGTCGTGGTGTTGTTTTGAAAAGTGATACATTTTGTAAGGGGGTCCAGTGAGTAATGACGCACTCAGAGTATTTCACACGGGCCGATTATATTCTTGCGGCCCATACAGTCTCAGCATCTCCTATTGCAACCCCACAGCCCGACAGCCCGACAGCCCGTCCCCCATTCCCCATTCCCCATTCCCCATCTCCCCATCTCCCCGATTTCCTCATCCCCCATTTTCCCCAATCCCCCAATCTCCCACCACCTTATGTTGGGGAAACGGGCCGAGCACGTGGAAAATCGGTGATTTGGACCCTAGAACTCTGGTAATCCCATAGTGCCCCAACGCTCCTATAAATCACACGCGAGGCATGAAAACTTTACAACCACAAGGCGGACGAGGCTTCGGCGGTCAGGAGGTCATAGATACTGCATAGTTTCATTGGAATACAGATGGAATTATTGGATTGATTGCTGCATTGCGCTATATACTTGATCAAGAAGATCTTTGATAGGGCACTACAGAGGTTGGTTTTCACCAATCCAACTGACAGAAGGAGGACTGGTTTCGAGTCTAGGCCACCTGAGATGGGTAAAAAAGTAGTGTGGTAGTTGTTAGTCGCAAGACCTCGGCGTCGGCGAATCTCGTGAGATTAGCCACGCAAGAGTGAGGCGCGACCAGAGATTCTTTTCTTGACGAGGGTCGTTTGGGCTAGCTACATAGAGCCGTCCGGCTCCGAGCGTAGCCTTACCGAAGCCGACGAAGCATTGCAGTAAAGCACCGATATAACGATGCATTTGCTTAGGGTGTGGGTGGGGAGCTGAAGTGAAAAGGAGACGCACGTAGAGTACAAGATTCGGTTTTTCTCATGTTGCACCTTTTTTCAATTCTCAATTCTCTCACACAACTATAGTAAACCTGCAGCCCCTCCCCATGGGATATAAACAGCCACATGTCTCGCACGTGTCGAGAAGAAGCCTCACAGATCACCACCTCTCCACCTCCTTTCATCTCTTCTCCCCCCCGGCCCATATACCTCTCGGGCATCCAACCCCATACATACAATCCTTTGTATCCAAAACCCATTTCGGGTGCGCGCGCGCGGAGAAGTTTCAAGACGGTGGGGGTTATCAAAGACACCAGGCCCGTCCGCCACCATCCCGCGTTCCCGGAGAAAAGCAGTGTGTTCGCATGCAAAAATATCATGGCGCAAAGCAAAGTAAAGCAAAGTAAAGCAAAGCAAAGCAGGAACAGGCAATCACCAGCCTATCATCACTCCCTGGAAAAGAAGGGGGAAGTGATTTAAGCAGCAACGCTGAAAGTGCTCAACAAGCTCCCGGTCACCGAGTTGAGGAAGGTGCTGACCTGGTTAGCGGTCAAGCTGGCGGGGAAGGTAGCATCATCGCTCAGCTTCTGGATGTTGGCAGTGCCATCCGCGCCGTTGAAGATAACCGCCAACTTGACAGTTCCGCTGGTTGGGCGAGCGAAGTAATCAGAGCTTCCACCAGGGGCGTTGGTGTGCAGAGTAGACTTGCAGCGCTTATCCCCCGACATCAGGACCTCCGCGATATCAAACTCTCCGCATCCGGTAGTCCAGCACGAGCAGCTCGCCTCACCGTACTGGAGGGTTCGCGGGATCTGAGCATTCAGCATCCAGACAGCAGGCATATCAGCGTTGAAGCCGGAGGTGGCGTCGGAGGGCATGCCGAACTCGAGGAGGAAGACCTTATCCGCGCCGTCGAAGCCGTGGTACGCGACGGAGCCGGGGCGCGTGTAGCCGCAGCTGTCACCAGCGACGCACTCCTTGTCGGTGAAGATGGCGAACTCCTTGTTGCTGCCGATCAGGGCGTCCGCGAGAACGGAGGAGGAGGCGGCGGCGCCAGTGCCCGCGGAGTTGAGGTAGGAGAGGGAGTTGCCGAAGACGTTGTCGAAGATGCCGGATCCGGAGCCGCCGTAGTTGCCGAGGAAGGTCAGGCCGTCGAGGGTCTGGGATGCGGCGTCGTAGTAGCCGCTGCGGGTGTAGGCGGCGTTGGGGTCAGCGGTCTGCTTCTGCTTCTGCTTGGCGGCTGCGACGACGGCAGCGGGGACTGCGACCTCAGGGGCGGGTTTGGCGGGTTTGGCGGGTGCGGCGGCGGCGGGGGATGGGGCGTCGGTAGCCTTTGCGCCGCCGGGGCCGAAGTAGTTGTTCTCCCAGGTCTGGACGACGCCGTCAATGGTGGCAGTCACGATGTCGGCGCGCTTCTCGACGGACTCCTTGAGCGCGCGCGCGTGGAAGGCCTTGTGGCCGTGGCGGCTGTGGGAGTGGGTGTCGCGCTTCTTGGGGGAGCCGGAGGTCTTGGTGTAGGCGGCGACCTGCTTGAGGGTGATTGGGCCGCGGAAGTGGAGGGAGACCTCCTCGTCAAGGGGGGCGAGGGAGCCGGAGTAGGGGACGGGGGTGGTGGCGCACTTGCCGTCGGAGCCCATGGAAGTCACCTTGTTGTAGGAGCCGGCGTGGCCGACGTTGGAGTACTGGATGGCGTCGACGAGCTGGCAGAAGTAGTTGCCGCCATCGAGGATGGAGCCGGAGGCGCACTGGTCGGCGAGGGCGGAGGAGGCGGCGAAGGCCAGGATGAGGGAGGCGATGCGCATGGTGAAATGCATTTTGAGATGTGGGATAGGGGGTGTGGTTTACGGGATATAGGATATAGGATATAGGAGTGATGAGTGATGAGTGATGAGTGATGAGTGATGAGTGATGAGTGATGAGTGATTGATTGAGCGATTGATCGTTAATTTCGTGGGCGGTAAGGAGTGTGATTTGGAACTATGCGTCGTCCAGCGGTTTGTCTTATTGCATCAAATGAGTGAATGTCAGTTGGTGTCTCGTCCCAAGTCTTTGAATCCTGCTTCGCAAAAAACTGGTTTTGTTTCGGTGATGGTGATGAAAGGTGGAAGATGGAAAGGTTGACTGGGGGGGGAGGGGAGGGTAGTATTTAAAGAGGATTCTTACTGGGGTGGAAAGTGGGATTGTGGTGTGGATGAGTAAACTGACTCTGGACTGGACCGTGCAGGGGGGGAGGGAGGTGGGATGGGTGTGGGATGGGAGTGGGATGGGAGTGGGATGGGTGGTGGGGATGGGTTGGGTGGTGGTGGTGGGTGGTGGTGGTAAAAGGCTGGTGGGTGGTGGTGGGTGGTGGTAAAAGGCTGGTGGGTGGTGGTGGGTGGTGGTGGAAGGCTGGTGGGTGGTGGTGGGTGGGTTTAGGGTTGGGTGGTGGGTGGTGGTGGAAGGTGGAAGGCTGGATGGGTGGTGGTGGAAGGCTGGATGGGTGGAAGGCTGGATGGGTGGAAGGCTGGATGGGTGGAAGGCTGGATGAGGGCGATGGGCGCTCGTGCAAGATTAGACGGGAGATTAGTGTCCAAATGGGCCTGTTCCTGGCTGCGATGAGCTGTGATTGGATGGGATGTGACCCTGAAACATGAATAGTGTGGGTGAAGTGAACAGGCTGTGGGTGCCGAAGGGGTCTAGCGTGGTGTTAGTGTCAGGTACGCGTCATGTTAGCGTCAGGTACGCGTCAGGTACCCTCGTGTCCCTCCTCTCTCTTCAGTACCTGGCGCCTGTGGTCCATCTCACTCATATCCACAACCCCACACCACACACGCCTCCATTCCCACCGTCTATTCCCACTCCCTCCATTCCCACTCCCTACATTCCCACTCCCTCCATTCCCACTCCCTACATTCCCACTCCCTCCATTCCCACCCCCTACATTCCCACTCCCTCCATTCCCACCCCCTACATTCCCACTCCCCCTCCACTCCCTCCATTCCCACTCCCCCTCCCCCTCCACTCCCACCCACTCCCTCCATTCCCACCCCCTACATTCCCACACTCCCCCTCCACTCCCCCTCCACTCCCCCCCACTTCGGCATTAAAGGCGGTTGCCAAGACAGGAGAGAGCCCCGGGAATGTGTGTCTGTATGTCCAGAATGTGTGTCTGTATGTCCAGAATATGTGTCTGTGTGTCCTGAATGTGTGTCTGTGTGTCCAGAATGTGTGTGTCTGGACTTTGGGGTGGTACTGCCTGCGCCCCCGGCGAGAAAGTACAGTAGCCCGTGGTGGAGCTTCGTAACTTCCGGTAATCGGCCATTGGCCAATCGCAATGACTCCACTAACCCTCTTCCGAAGTTACCAGCAAAACCCACACAACTGCCTCGCCACACACTGCCCAAATAGTCCGCATTATACTTCCCTACAACAATCATTCTCAAGCGGCTTTAGCTCACTTGGGAGAGCGCCAGACTGAAGATAACTTCGGTTCGATATCTGGAGGCACTGTGTTCGATCCACAGAAGCCGCAAACTACTGCGAGTCAAGGAACACCTTGACTAACGAACACTTCTTTTTGGCGCTGGGTGAGACGGGAGGGTTGCTTTTTTGGCGGGGGCGCCTAGCTGAGATAGATGGTTAATCGTCGGAACCTGCGTCTGTTCACCGCCACTCCTCAACAAAACCTCTACTATAGTTGTCCATAGTAGTTAGATAGTATTTAACGTATTTCCCAATCGAACCGTGCACCCGGTCGAACCGTGCAAAATAACCACCAAAACGCGTCTTCCTTCCATACAACTAATATGTCTCCAACACAAGCTTATTCTTCTAATCAAAAAGGTAGGATTCTTTTAGCTATACAAGCAATTAAATTATATCAATTTCGAAGCGTACGAGCTGCTGCAATAGCATACGATATACCTCCTCAAACCCTTCGTGATAGGATAAAAGGAACAGCTCCCCAATGCAACTCACCCTCAAATACTCAAAGGCTTACTTCTCAAGAAGAGGAAGCTATCGTACGATACATTCTCGACCTTGATTCGCGTGAGGAATCAACTCGTACGGGTGGTCAATTCCTCCATTCATTATTTTCAAAGGAGCAACCCACCTCTCGTCATGGTATAACGACGACGAGGTACAACTCCCACGCGATTGGGTGATTACATTAAGTGAAAATGGGTGGACTACAAATGCAATTGGTTTTGAGTGGATTCAGCATTTTGAGAAACATACTCAGAGTCGTACGAAAGGAGTATATCGTCTCCTAATTCTTGATGGCCACGAGTCACATATTTCAGTCCAATTCCAACAGTATTGTCAAGAGCACCTAATTATTACCCTCTGTATGCCACCACATTCATCACACCTCCTCCAGCCTCTTGATGTTGGGTGTTTTAGCCCACTAAAGCCCTCATACGGAAAGCAGGTCGAGGGTCTCGTACAACTCTGTATTCACCATATCACAAAGCTTGAGTTCCTCTCTGCCTTTAAAGAAGCGTATAAAGCTGCATTTACAGCACAGAATATTAAGAGTGGCTTTCGAGCAACAGGTAATTATAATAATCTTTATAGTAAATACTACTAACTTAGTTATAGGGTTAGTTCCGTACAATCCAAATACTGTCCTTTCGCACCTTGGTCTCCAACTAAAAACACCAACCCCACCACCTGTTGAAAAGGAGACTTGGACCTCAAAGACACCCCAGAATGCGACTGAAGTTGAATTCCAAACAACACACCTTAAGAATCGAATCGTACGACATCAGAATAGCTCTCCAAGTTCAATAAATGAGGCATTTGACCAGCTTGCTAAAGGAGCTCAAATAATGGCCCATTCATTTACACTCCTTAAAGCTGAAGTCAAGGCGCTACAGCAGGCGAATGTGCTCAAAAAGCGAAGGGCAAGCAAGCGAAGGAAGCGTATTCAATTAGGTGAAGCTTGACAATTGAGGAAGGTGATGAGCTCGTACGGAGTACTCAAACTCAGGAGGAGGAGGGTGGTGATGCCACACAGGGTCAGCGCAGGAAAGGGAAACCACGACGATGTGGCACATGTAATCAAGTTGGACATAATGCTCGTACGTGCAAAGAGGTATTAGATTCAATTACTGTAGATAGCTAGAGTGTTTTAAAGGGTTGTTGTTATAATATACCTACAAAGTTGTATTTTGGTGGTTATTTTGCACGGTTCGACCGGGTGCACAGTTCGATTGGGAAATACGTTATATGCAATTCATTTAATAGAAGGGACTCCTCTATCAAATGCTCGTGAGTGGCTCCTAGAGAACCCCTCTGAAACAGCAACTACTGCTAGTCAGATTTTCAAAGTGCCTAAATCAACGATACAGTCAAGTATCAGCCGACTAGCCTAGCAGCTCCTACACTAAGGGGGCTAGAATAAGCTACTCTCTACTGTGTAGACAGAGGCCATAAAGAAATGGATCCTTAAACAGTATTACCTAGGGCTTAGAGTAACTAGGAATATGATATTTGCTGTTGTCTATTGTCATACTGACATTCGTTGCACTCAGTTTGCTATCAAACTCAAGAGCAAACTTAGAAATCTCCTCCTCAAACCTACAAGTCACTATACATATTTTGGCTTGTCACACCAACAACAAGAGCAATACTACTCAACGATTGCTACAACCCTCTATGATTCATTACACGTCATTGCTCCTTAGTTACTGGGCCAATATGACCACATAGCATATCTCTACAACCCTCTATGATTCATTACATGACATCACTCCTTAGTTACTGGGCTAATACTACACATGACATATCTCTATCAACTAGAGGCCTAGGAACATGAACGATAGCTCCAAAAGCTTCTACAACCCTCTATGATTCATTACACGTCATCGCTCCTTAGTTACCCACAAGATTGGTTAAGTTATGACATAATTTGTCTATAGGGGTACTCTGACCTTGGACCTCCTTTCACTTCCTATATGTAAGGATGCCTCCGTACCTAGATACTCGAAGAACCTGTCTCAGAACTGTTACGGTCACTACAATCATGGAATCCGACTCGGTGGGGTTTCGAACCAGTAGAGGAGCATATAGCGAGTTACACTATAGTGGGGGACGGTAAGTGTATAGGGTTCAGGGCCGATGTAGACCTGTTGCGGTGGAAGGTTCAGGGCTAGGGTTGGGATAACCGAGTCGGGCCCGTTTCGGGAGTTAAGGAAACAGACTCAACGGGGTTCCCCCTTCATCTTTTTTGTATCCTTCGTAGTAGACCTATAGGATAGCATCCGTTTAGCCTCCGACTCGCACTCTCATATGCTATTACTGTGAGCTGGGTGCCCTGTGTCCTGACACTATAGGCTAGGAACCTAGGAGATGGTTCTATGGGATTCTCTTACGTCAACTACAGTTACCAAGCCTGGTTAGTCATGGAAAGTCTTGGAAAATGAGAGAACTACACTCCTTTAGCATAAATAGGATTGCCCTTTCCTTAAGAAAGGGCAAGCAGACAATACAGTAAATCGACTATCACATACTTCCACGTCTTTTCCAAGCTTCCAAGCATTGATCTTGTTACTCCTTGTTTCTGAAAAGTCAGTGAGGTGCTAACTGTTACGACGGAACAAGAAGGCTGGCCAACTACAGGACAGGAAGGAGGGAGGTCGCATGAGACTGGCCCTGGTACCTGGAGGGGCAGCGGGGAATAGTAGTTCCGAAAGTATCACGTGACGGACTCGCAGGATGATGAGAAGAGTCCTAAGAGTCCAGGACTCCGAGGACTCGAGTGAGTTCCCAGGAGTCCACTAGGCACGTGATGGACTCGCAGGATGATGAGAAGAGTCCTAAGAGTCCAGGACTCTGAGGACTCGAGTGAGTTCCCAAGAGTCCACTAGGCACGACGCCACTATATAAGTAGATAGTATTTCCTTAGATAGGAGCTTCGTGCTCAACTCAATACAGTATTTGTTATATACTAGTAACGTGTTACTTGAAGCCTTTGTGTCTGATCCCCTGCCTCCTCTGATAAGTAAACCTTTACGCAAGAGAACCTCTGTGTCTTCTATTGTTTAGAAGTCAGCGTTACAGACGCCACTATATAAGTAGATAGTATTTCCTTTGATAGGAGCTTCGTGCTCAACTCAA